AAAAGTCTTCAGAATTACAAGACCTTTCATGTGATATCAAGAAAAAGGGGCTGACCCCTCAAATTAGGGGCTCAGAGGGGCCAAAAGTCTTTCATCTATAACTCCTTAACGTTAAATATTTTGATATTGATTATTGAGGCAAAAATGTTCATCTTCACAATCTGCAACTAGATATCATAAAATTTTCTTCAAATTTTACGTAATTAGGGGCCATAAGGGGCCAGAATGCTTTATCTTTGAAGCTCTATATCTCGAAAAGGGGAAACATTTTGAAAAGCAATATTGAACAAAAGTTGTTTAGAATGATGATTTGAACAATGTGCATCCTTTGAATTTTTCCTAAACAGCCCCTATAAGGACATAAAGGGACGGCCCCTAAATATTTCAAGTCTACATATCTCGAAAATGAAACGAAACTTCTGAATAGTTGTTGAACAAAAAGTCTTCAAAATTACAAGACCTTTCATGTGATATCAAGGAAAAGGGGCTGACCCCTCAAATTAGGGGCTCAGAGTGGCCAAAAGTCTTTCATCTATAACTCCTTAACGTTAAATATTTTGATATTAATTATTGAAGCAAAAATGTTCATCTTCCCAATCTGCATCTATATATCTTCAAATTTTATAAAAAATTTCTTAATTAGGGACCATAAGGGGCCAGAATGCTAAATCTTTGACGCAAGCTCGTTTAGTAATTATTAATTTCTTTAACCTTTCTGAGCAGAAATCTCTTGAAATGACTCTGTTTATTGGATCTTTCCACCTATCTGTATGACCTTGACCTTTGACCTTGATATATGACCTTGACATTAAGGTCAGAATGTTTACTGAGGAAGTGGAGAGTTGATTACAACTCCCAGTGTGTAACAGGCTAAGGATTATTATATAAACCCCCCCCCCCTTTTCTTTCGTGGAAAAAAAATGACAGCAGTTGCAACATGCAATATCTCTCTAGAATTGAATTCACACATCGGATCGACACGAAACTTTAGAGAACTGTAGCTGAGACTCCAAAGTAACTTCCTGTAGAGTTTTATGGTCTTTCTCTGAAAAATGTAGAAATTACATTTTTTTCCGGAAAAACTTCAAAGAAAAAAATCATCCCGAGAGCAATGTGAAATCTTTCTCTTAGTTTCAAATCACACTTCAGATAGATATAAGATTTCAGGGAGTTGTAGCTAAGAACCTACTGGAACTTTCTTAAGTTTTATAGTCCTTCTCTCCCTCTCTCCAAAAAAAAAAAAGAATAATGAAAATTATCGGCAAACATGACTTTGGGTTAAATTTGAAACTAAGGACATGCATCCAGCTACAGTAGCAGGTTAAAACATAGAACGTAAAGAATTTTTTTTTTTAAATGACCTTGACCTTTGACCTTGACCCAAAGGTCACAATCAAGCTTAAGGATGTGGAAGTAGTTACAATTGTTAGTTAAAAAGAAACATAAAATAAATAACTCACCCACCCCCCCTTTCTTAAAAAAAAATCACATCAACAACAACGTAGAATATTTCTGTAAAATTCAAACCAGACCTCGGATCGACACCAGATTTGGTACAAATGTAGTATAGACCTCAGAGAAACTTTCTGGAAAGTTTTACGGTGAGTCTTATAAGTATATAGAAGTCATGAAGTTTCACGGCAAAAACTACAAGTTCTGTTGTGTTTGAAATTAAAGTGCAGGTGAACGAAGAAATGATCTTAACCTTTTTTTTGGCTATTTCTTCAGATGTCGTTAATAGCATTCGATTCTCCTGATATGATTTGACATTTTAATAACGAGCATTCTCTCTTTCTTTAACATGTGGAATTTATTTGATTTTTATTTGGAATTAATCAGTTTCCAGAAATAGCGATTTTCGATATTTTAAAAACAATTCTCGCTTTCATTGTCGTGTTTCCCTTCTAAAAATGCATGTTGGGAGTTTAATTTGTGCTACATATATTTAATATAACCCAAAGAAATGCTTATTTAAATGTTTCATATTTATTTCAGGATATTCAGTCAGAAATGCTAAAATCCGAACCCGATCTTTAAAGCTTTCAACAAAGCTACATGTATTTACAAAAAAATCAGCATGCTCACAATATCGATGAATCGGGCCACAGTCCACTAATACATTTTCATTAGGGAACAGTGTTAACGTTTTCTCACGCAACCCGTCCCTTCTTATTTTATATACTGCTTGCAAGTTCAGGAACTATTTCCTTTTACGGAACTTCTTTCTTCCCCTACCGATTCTAAAAATACGCTTGCATCTATTCTATAGTCCTAAACATTTTAACTTACTACTGTTGTCGGAATGCGTGGCCTAATGGTTAGCGCACCTGCCTTTCAACCCAAGGGTTTTGAGTTCGATCCCAGCTTGAAGAGCAATTTTTTTTAAAAATAGACTTTTACGGAAACATCCAAAAATGTTTAACGACTAGTAATTTGTTTAGGAGAAATGATTTCTCTTATGTTTTATTAAGGTCTTTCGTCTTCAGCGGAAGACCCTTCTATTATTCTTCGGTTTCTTTTTCATTTTTATTAGGGTCTTCCGTCTTCAGCGGAAGACCCTTCTATTATTCTTCGGTTTCTTTTTTTACCTTTATTATTAGGGTCTTCCGTCTTCAGCGGAAGACCCTTCTATTATTCTTCGGTTTCTTTTTTACCTTTATTAGGGTCTTCCGTCTTCAGCGGAAGACCCTTCTATTATTCTTCGGTTTCTTTTTTACCTTTATTATTATTCTTTTTTCTTCTTACAAAATTTGTGCAGACGATTTCTCGGAGATGGCTCGTTCGATTTTATTCAAATTTTCATGGTAGATGCGTTGACATCTGAAGTTAATTCCGGCAATATC